ATCCTATGCATGGCAACTCTTACAAGTTATCATTCATAAGGCACATCAACTAACCTGAAATGCACAAGTCTTTTCTCAGCTCCTTCTTTTCTTCTGCATTTAATCTTGCATCATTGTCAATAATTTGTTTCACGTTGTCCTCAGAGGATTCTGGATCATCAGTCCATGCATCTTCTCCAATATAAGAACTATCATAGATAAGTGTTCCATCAGGTCCTTCAATGAACTTCTTCAGTTTTAGGCCTTTGGGCATTGTCTTCCTCCATAGACTCTTCTTAAACCTGAAATCGTAAGAAAAAAATTTACAGAAATAAAACTAATGTAGTCAGATTCAAGATAAGAATCTGGTCCAATAAACACAGGAGTGCAGCTTCTCATATGACATTCAAAGGTTTACACCTCAGTTGGTAGTAACTAAAGTGAACATTTTCTTTTTCTCCTTCACCTCAATTTCTTCATCCTTCATTTTCTCCTTCCCTCGCACATTACATTACTTCTAATTATCAAGTAGCTTATGATACACTCTGATGCCCCTTCTCCTATGTTGCTTAAAAAATCTACTATATTATCTTTAGAAAGGTAAAACTATTCTCCAATATCTAATATAATTTAAAAAAAAAAAATTAAAAAAATATGGAAATATATCCAAGATAATGTTATTTCAATGTTTCATGATTCATCTCTATCAAATACATCATAAAATGTGAATTATTATTATCGAGTGTAGTCAAATCTTGTGAACTAAGAATGTTAATATGTTTCAGAAGATTCACGCAGCTCCAAAAATAAACTTGATAATCATCCTTGATATGTCATAAGAATGTAAAATAGTTGGTAGATTGCAAACTTCCAAGTAACATAAGCAATGCATTTACTTTCTAACATTACTAGGCGAGGGGTCTGGAATCAATGCCTCCATATAAGCCTCTGTTAATTCCTTTTTCTCTCTTTCCAGTTGTGGCGCTCGAACAGCAACATATAGTCTTTGACAAGAAAATATTGCAACAAAAATATACAGTACCAATGCAGCAATTCGTTCGGACTCCCAATTCTTGTAATCCTGCGAACTCTTTACTTATTAGCTTACCAATAAAGTAATGATCAAGCAGAAACTTATGAAGAACCAAAATAAAACATAGCAAGACCCAGAGAGAGCATGATCAAACATGAATAAATGTCTCAAAATAAGCTTCCCGGAAAAAAGAAAAAAAAAAAATCACCTTCCAACGCTCCCATCTGTTCCAACTGACAAACTCCGGTACCAATTCAGTGCTAAACCGTGCAAACTCGTCCTCACCCTTCTTGACCACTTCCTTCACTGACCTCCCAAATTCACTAACCTTCACATTAGCCTCACCCAAATCAAACCCAGTTTCATTCTTAACGGACTCACCGATATTGGACCAGAATCGCTCTGACCCTACTCGAAGTGACCAAGCCAGTCTCTGCCAAGAAAAGCCATTAG